AGCTGTAAATGAAAAACTATGAAACATGCGATAATTTGGTTTAAACAGTATCGTAAACTGTTTGGCGAGAGAGTATCAGGTTTCGTTTTTCTTACGGGATGCGCGAGATATTTGGAAAAATATCATCGCAAATGGTTATTATTTGTACACATTTTTTATTTACCAAACTTCGTCGTCACTTTGAAGTTCGGCGAGACGTGAAAGAAACTTTATACAGGGTGCACGCACAATAAAATTACATCCATTTTGCGAAAGGTTCATATTGGTCCGCGGTCCTGTTGCTAAAGTAACATATTTGCTTAAAATCTTAAATCATTAAAACATTACTCTTGTAATACCAACAATACTAAAAATTCCTCTCTTGGGGATTATTTATCTAAATTTTAGGAGGTGGTTTCACCATCGCACACCGCTAACTATCAGACCGACTAGATATATTTATCTGCTTAAGGAAAAAAAAACGCCCCGGTATTTAACCAATCAACGGCGTCACTTCACTTGGCCGGGTCGCTTTCCGCATACGAAATCTGTGGCAGTCGACCCACGACGGGCATTACGGACAATTAATAGCAGATAACATAATGATTATCGGCGGCAATAAAATTAGCACATGCAAAGTATATAACATTGACCGGCAAGCGTTCCGAATTGATTATCATAATAAAACTATAATGTTTACGCCAAGTAATATATCAACCTTATTGGGTCCGGTATTCGTTTCGTTTTCGCGAAGATCATAACGAAATATTTTCGAAGATTCGAATTTATTTATTTATTTACATTTAAAAACCAATTCATATCAATTAAAACAAATAAATAAATACATGGTTACTCAAAAAAAAGAACAGATTTCAAACACAAAAGATATAAACATGACTCTAACGTCAATGGATAAAGAAAAGTGTAAACTTCATTACATCGGTAAAATTTCCAAGCATGGCCACATTGGCGCTGACGAAAGGTATTGTGTAGTACTCAGGATATTTTCATTAATTCGTCTTATCGTATCTAATTCTAAATCATTTAAATTTTGCGGTTTTTCCTTATACATTTTTGCTTTGAAATATCCCCAGTGGAAAAAGTCCAGTGGAGGAATATCTGGAAATCTACCAGTCCCTGAAATAAAATTTATTATGCAAAAATTGCAAAATGTAAACATTTATTGTTAGTGGATGCTGTGTATGATTTTCTCTCAACCGTCGCTACTCCAATACTCCAATTTTGCTTATTTACATTTAAATAAAACGTGGTCTTATTACTTTTTGGACGGTAGGTAGATTCAATTTATTTACAGACAGATAAAAAATACATTAAATTCATTTCGAAATTAAATTTATGTGCTTATGAAAAGTAACTTAGTATCGACATGTACTATTCGACCCACCCTGTATATTTTCTGTTGCAAAAAATGCGCAAGAAAAAATTATGATGTATGTAATAATACCTAATTTTTAAATCCATTTGCTAAATCCATAGGCTAACACACAGAGAAATTCTAACTTCACCGATCACGAGGTAATTAAAATAAATAGAAAAACTGAAAACTACTTAGAATGTAAATGTAATCTGTAAATATGATGTCCTAAAGTCGGTAAGTAATGAATCAATTCATGAAACACAGAAACTATCAACATACCAACATGTGGTGCGATTACAAATATATCCATAGGAAGGAAAAATAGTTTTATTTTGCGTAACGTTATTTTTACAAAAATTATACCACAATAGTTGCTGCATTATATTGAATACTTCAGAAACTCAGAAACAGTTTAATTTTTCTCAGAATCACTGGTATTTAATCCGCTTAATCATTTCAAAGAATAAGAAGGAAATGACAGAAAAACTTGAGGAAGCAGCAGGGGTAACAATGGGAGTCAGTTTTAAAACAGTATAAGAAATTATGTATTAAAAATAATGATATAATTCTAAGAATGTTAAAAAGTGTAAATGAAAAACCTGCTTAATGTTGTAATAGACAAGAAATTAAAAAACTCTTATCGTCACTTGAAAGTCTTCGGTTACAGTTGATAATGATTCAAGTAAGTTAAGTATCCAAAACACTACGCTTTTCCAGATATTCTTTCAAAACCCAAATAGTTACATTCTATAACTTCTATTTCCACATTTTCCCTCAAATCTTCACTCCTTGGCTCTCCTTGTTTACACCTTTTAGTCTGGTATCACATTGTATTTTTTTGTCCAGGTCCAAGGCTTCGGAATTATGTTTTTTCCTTAATGGTATGTAAAACAAAACACTCACAAGTTATTAGCCTATGATATTTTTGTTAAAAGAGAATATTCTATAAAGCTCTTTATATTTTTTTTCTATTTGGTTTTCGAAATTTTGGCAAAATTAGGATGAAAATAGATTATTTATATTTTATTTACAAGTTACAAATTAAAGATACTAAGTGATATCTTAGTATTGACAAGATTAAAAATTAATCAAATTGTTTTATTATTCTAAATTTGGCAGTGGCAATGCGACCTCCATTTTGTTGAACACATTTTTCGTAAACTCTAAATATATGATTTTAGGTTTAGTTAATAATAGTTCCTGATTTTCTCCGAACTGATCGATTGCCCAAAGAAAAAGTCCACTAATGTCAAGTCTGGGTGTTGGCTGGCCTAGCAATACCTTCACCCTCCATCCGACCCATCGAATGGTCCATATTTAAAATATCAACAATTTAATATGGGGAAAAAAATTGAATTAATAATCTGGAGGGTGAATATTTTTGAAAAAAGTTAATTTCTATTAATAATGAATTTTAAATCCTTTAATTATTAATTAATTAATTTGAAAACCACTTTATTTTTTATAGAAATATCGCTCGGTTGTACTACCGGATGACCCTTTGAGGTAATTCCCATGATAATGACTAGCGATTATCAGCTTTGTAATGCTGCCATTAAAAGGACACCTTGACGAATGGGGCGGAACTTGCAATTGCCACCTTTACACAATAATGACGGACTGATTGTAGGTTTAGGTATGGAAATACGATTACGGTCAAAATTAACGAGACGTCGCAAGTCACGAATATCTAAAAAATTTGGTTTTATCTGATTTAATTTCTGTCGGTGGTCGAACATATGTTTCAGTGAATTCAAAATTGGAGATTTGACGGTAGAGCCACCAACTAGTCCAAAAATCATTATCAACATGATTTTTTTAAATGCAAAATGTGCTCTAGTTTGCGGTTATGCGGGTTCTCAGGTTTTTTCGATTTTAATTCAAAATTTTCGGTTGACTTTTTTAAAGATTAATTAACAGATAATTTGTCACCAGAGGCGGAAAAACCATGATTCTGAACAAAATTACGGCAAACTGAGATATGTTATCCTATAAAAAGATATAATTTTGGGACAAGCAAAGTCTGATAATAATATTTATCTAATAATGCAAGTGACGAAAATTTTTTTTAAAACTCTTTAAAGAGTAGTTGAAATTTTGATGGTTATTTACAGCAAAATTCTATTGTCATAATCAGAAAAAAAATGAATGACGCTGGAGTTCTTCACCAATCAAAAACTGTTTTTTTTTTGTTTCGTGGTTTATTTCATTATTCATTCAGGAAAAACCTTTGCCACTAAAAAACAACGAGAAATATCTATTTGTAGAGATTGTATAACTGATCAATCAGGATGTAGATATTTTTGTTATAAAGAAAAACTTTCATGAAGAATAATATATTTTTCTGAAAAAAATCTGGCGAAAATAAGAAGAAAGAAATTTGAATTAAGAAAATATTTTTAAAATGTTCTTAAAGCAAAATATATTACTTAAAAATAAAATCAGACGTGCTTAAGTTTAAGAAAACTTAAATTTTAGTGAAGAAAACCTCTTTTTTAAATTATTTTTAACCGCCTTAAAAAAGGAAGGGTCAAGTTGAAATTCAATGATACTCTAGAAATTAAATTTCCAGTTAAGGATATATTTCTTCTTAGTTGAAGTCAGCTTATTTCTTTTTACGGACACACAAATATTTTTGCGTAAAATAAGAGTATCCTTTTATAATAATGTATTATTTTGGTGATATGCAAATCATCTTCCAGGCATGCAAAGTAGTTTTTTTTATTTGCGGCCAATCTAGCTTACGTATTAACTTTTCAAAACTTTTAGGAACGTTCGGACTTTACAAATCGCATATCTTTTTCAAAAAAAGACAAGTTGCTTTGTCTGAGAATGGATGTTTTGAGTGAAATCTTATTATTAATTGAAAATTTTCGACTTTCAATGTGAAACCGGTCAACCAGATGGATTTTTAGGAACTCCCGGAGTTTGCAAATAGCATATTTTCTGCAAAAAGGAAAAAACAAGTTGCTTTGAAGAAAGGATTTTAGTGACTTTATTATTGAAAATGTTCAAGTTTCAATGTGAAAACGGATGGTCGCACTTTAAATATCTTCTTCAAAAAAAGACGATTTCGTTGGAGGAACAAAAAATGTATGTGCGACAAATCTTGTTTATTATGGTAAACTTTCTGGTTTCAATGTATAAACGCAAGACTGTGAATTTCCTGTTCCTTTTAAAGAAGGAAAGATTTTTTTAAGTGCGATAAATCTTGTTTATTATTGGAAAACTCCGTAGTTTTAGGGACGCCTGAACTTTAGAAATAACGAGTTGCTTCGTTCGAAAAAGGATTTTTTCATGTGCCAAAAATCTTGTTAATTATTGGAAATTTTCTAGTTTCAATGTAAAAACGGAAAGGTCGGTGGTTCTTCAGCAGCCCCAGGACTAAACAAATCATATATCAATAAAAGATAATTGCTTGCGCAAAATCTTATTTATGAGTGCAAAAAGATCAGTTGCATTTTCGGAAGATAGTGCAAGGCATTTTGTTATTTATTTTTGGAAATTTGAAAACCCCATTAGTTTTCCTGACCTTTTAAGAAGGTATATACTCTGCCATAGGTTTCTCAGTTTGACGAGAGGCTTATTTCTCCGGTTCTACCTTTTATCGGCTCACTTTGTCACCCCGTCATCAAAAACTAACCTATATTGTGTGTTGAGTGCTGAATGTAGCTGGAATTAGGCCCGATGGGCACATGGGGCAGCCCCGCCCGCAACGTCAGGGTCCCGACGGGTGTAATCGCGGGTCCTTCGAGGTACGCCGCCAGGTTGCCCGGATTTCGTTCACACGCGCACACACCAAGATACCCAGACACTCGTTCTATAAATATATTCGAATAAAACGACGGCGGCGATGGCGCGATTTCCTCAAGTCACCCCCGCGCACCCCGACGACCGCGTCACACGGGCCGCGCACGTCAAATTTGACAGGTGTTGTGGCTGTAACAAAAAGCGTTCGGCGAGCACGCGTACCAACCGCGCAAAGTGTCAAAGGCGACTGGTAGCTGACGGAGGCGCTGCCTGCATCCCTACTCGCGATCGATTTTCGGTCCCCTCTTCCGTGGGATACGCCAATCGCGAAGCCCATCCACACCTCTCCGCTGTGGCCACGCCCTCACCTGGGCAGCCATGAGGTTGTGATCTTTATCGCGGAGCCTTTGTCCGTTCTCTCTGGCCTGTCGACGTTCTTATGTTGATCCGTGCATCGCCTACTGAGATTTTTTTCGCCGCTACCGTTTTTCGCGTGGGATTCGTTTTTTGTCGCTGTTACGCGAAGAAGGGAGAGGTCGGGATGTTTTGGGGGTTCGATGTACCCTGGAAACGAGGAGAGCAGACTTGTTTTTATTTACTACGAGATGCCAGCAAAATTCTACAAAAAAAAATTGACTTATTGTATGTTGCGCCCAAACTACTTCTTCTCATACCACGTCCTCATTGAACGTTTTCAATAAGCATCTCCCAATAGTGTTGCGCTTGATTTCTGGAACCATTCCCGTAAGTTCCGAAACCAAGGTTCTGGTCTGCATTCAGGCTTTTATATTTTTTGCATAATTAAGTCTATGACATTAGCTGCTTAACAAAATATGCTTTGAGGACAGGTACTTTCCAGATTGTCTAAAAACTGACATTGTCACTCCTATTTATAAAGACGGCGATAGAGAAGAACTTCCGACCAATCACACTTATTATAAAAACAATGTTCTAGGCAGTTTGGTTTTCGAGAGGGGCAACTCATGGCTTCCTAGAGAAAATATGTGATGGTATAGATTCGAGTAAGCGGGACTTGTGCATATTAATAGATCAATGTGATTTGAAGGGAAGGGTGCAGGGCGGTGACTTATGCAGTCCGACAGGATAGCGTGCTCGGTCACTAGTTCAAAATAAATAGGAACTAAAAGTTCAGATTTTCACGAAATTATATATTTTGACATGACAATTGTTTCGACAACAAAGTGTCTTTAAGAAATGTAATATTTACAAACTACCTGGTTCTATATATTCCGAAAAATAAAAATAAAACCTTAATTAATGTTGTTGTGAGAATTTAAGTTCAATAAAGAAGAGGTGTTTAAATTTAATTGATCGTTAAGCAATACATTTGAATGTCTCATTTTGTTAATCTCCATTGCTTCCAATAAATTTAATTTTCTACTTTTGTGGCTGTATGTAAAATGTCAAAATTGTCGTCAAAAATGTGTTTTTCTGTGTTTAAGTGTGTAGCTTAATTAGAATCCAGACTATTATTTATAAACGCTCTTTTATGTTCGTTAATGCGTTTCGTTCATTTTCAATATAAATTTTAGGACAAGATCCGCATTTCAACCTGTAGACACCTGATTTTTGAGATTTTGGACATTTCGTTTTACAGTTTTCCAAATATTTTCCTATTTTGTTGTTAGTTCTGAAAGCTATTTTTAAACCACATTTTGAGAAATGTTTTGAAACTTTTTCATTAGGTTCTCCTATGTATGTAATTGTTTTAAATTGTTCGTGTTCTGTATTAGGTTTCGGATAAATAGAGTTTACTGTTGTCTGGATTTGTTTTTTTATTTATAATTTTATCTATAATGGACGGATTGTAGCCGTTGTTCAGCGCAATTTGTTTAATGATATTAAGTTCTTTGTTGTAATTTTCTGTTGAAAGTGGCGTATTAAAAGAGTTAAATGCAGCTATTTTGTGTGTATACGGGTGATTTATTGAACTTAAATTATCACAACAACATTAATTAAGATTTTATGGTCATTTTTCGGAATATATAGTACCAGGTAGTTTGTAAATATCACATTTGATAAAGACACGGTGTTGTCGAAACAATTGTCATGTCAAAATATATAATTTTGTGAGATTCTGAACTTTTAGTTCTTATTTATTTTGATAAATGGATTTTCATCAAGTAAAGGCGACCTCAGTTCAACGCTACTGTTCACCCTATATATAAATCTTCTATATTTAAACACAAACGATAAAATAGTAAGTTTTGCTGTGATTCTTTGTGAGGGAAAAAACTGACAGCAGTTAAAAATAGATGCAGGGAAAGATTTTAAATCGATGAAATCACGGTTTCTGCACCGTTTACATAGATAGATAGGTAGATTTATTGTTAACTATTTTTGTAAAAAGTACATTATAGCAGGTCATAGTAATAATATTGTACAATATTAAAAATACAGTTTAAGTATAAAAAGTAAAACAATTAAATATTAACACTACGTTACAATATAACAACAAATACAAATAACAATACATTTTAAATAAATAAAAAAAAGAACAAAGAGACAAATATAAAAACAGTAAAAGAGGTAATATATATTTCATAAAGTATGTTTAATTTATTTTTTGTCAAAAACAAAAATTGCTATCAAGGTATTCTTGAACGGGATAAAAACACTGACCGAGCAGTTATTCTTTCATTGTTGTTTTAAATTTTTTGTTGGAGAGCATTTTGATAGCGTAATTCAAGGAATTAAAAACAGATTTCGTTAACTTATGTAGCGGGATAGTGATCAAATCAAATCTTAAATTCTAAGAGTGGTTTTTACTGGTGGATGGCAAATTTGATTTTTTATGATGAACTTCTATTTCTGTGTCTCAGAAAGAGGGGCCTGCGGTGGGTACGATAATACACACCACACATAACCCTAACTGCTCTCTTTTACAATCTAAACATTATCTAACACATTAAACTGTAACAAAATTCGATAAAGTATTTGGAAATAATGTTGGACAGACAGATATGAAATGGGACCTGCACATGAAATATGTTTGCTATCTAAAATTACATGTCTTAGGGACTTTCTAGATATAACGCATTTAAATTGGAATGTCTCATTGGTGTGTAAAATTCATGTTTAAGAAAATTAAAACTCGTCCAACTGAATACTTTATAAGGAAAGTAATTTGTTGGATATACAGCTATACTGCCATATTATCTTGAATAATAATCACAAAGCAACATAGATATGGAATCCATGAGATATGAATACAATAAAAGAAAAAAATCAATTTATCCCGAAAAACGTTTTTATAAGTATGCTCTCCGACTTTACAATCGATTATCAGAACAAATAAGATGTATCAGAATGTTTCATAAATACAAATCCTTTGTGAAAGAGTGGATTTTTGAGAGTGGCAGGGCTATGTTTAGTGATCTCTTGGACTTGAAATATGCCAGATAACAGAATTGTGTTAAGAAATTGTAATAAATTACATTGATGGATTCTCTGTTTTTCCTGGACAGATTTTGTATGCATAAATGGTAAAAAAATCTGCATGTGGCATTTAATTTACATCCGACCTTTGTGGTGAATGGTGTCTCTGTGACATCTTTTCATTAGTCTGTTCTTCGCGTATCTTTAGTTAAGAAAAATTAAAAAATTAAATTCTATTACTTATATTATATAATATTATATTATATTATATTATAATGTGTAAACAAAATAAAACAAATATGAATTCGAAAGTCCATCACTGACAAACATTGATTTGCTTCTGTGGATTTAAACGGTTATTTGGTTTATCTTGTGAAACTGAAATTATAATAATAAATGATAAGTTATTTAAAAATATTTGTACATTTTTATTTTGAATAAACTTATGTTATTATTATATTGAACGCATGTGTAAAATATTTTTTTTAATTTTGACTATTTCGGGTTATTGCCTTAAGCGACTCTACCAGCTCATGCGCAGCAGTCTGCGGTATACCCACACCTCAAAAAATTGGAGTTTATTTAACAGTCTCCGTAAGTATTCAGCTTTCCACTCAGGACATCAATGACATTTTGTGAGTTTTTTTAAGGCTACTTAGAATTGTCTTCATCACGAAGACGATTTCTTTGCTTATATTTCAGTTATTATTAATGTTAGAAAAAAATAAAGAACTCTACTACCACCTTAACTAACTACAAAAATTCTTTATTCTGCTCGCGAGCAGAAGAATTGGTTTGAAAAACTTGTACCTTACAAGAAAATATTCAAATTTTTGTTCAACATACAGAACATTTTATTTGCAAGTGTAATAAGTATAAAATCATAATATCAACTTTTTGACATGTACCCTATACGGAGTTAAGGCTGATAAAACAACGTCAAAACAAAGAAATTCACATTCCTCGACAAAGTAGCTATAAAACTGTTAAATTTCCGCAAAACTTTAATCTTATTTTTGTTTTGTTTCGAAATTCGGGTACAAAAGAGGGAGACCAGTGAATCAGTACAAAGCTTCAAAAACCTAGTTCGGTTTTGTTGTATTAGTTCTAGTATCCTTGCTAAAAATGTCTATTTTCGTAGTTAGGATACCAAACGATATTAAAGATGAAATTAAAATGTTATCATTTATCTTTATTACTTACTTAAAATACATTCGAATTGCCAGAGCCAGAAAGTGAGGTTTTAGGCAGATATCTGTAGGTTTGATGCCGTTTTCGTAACAATATGGAAGCGGAAAAGATTATTTCGACCGGGCTCGAACTTTTGTCCCAGAACGAGGGATTTTAAGCTATCTGGAATTTTTATTTTAGTTACAAAAATCTCGGAAAAACCGACTTTAACTGAAATCTAAAAGGGTTTTTATGTTTTTACGTTGATATCTGCAAGTTTAAGGTAGATTTCGCTACAACCAGTGGCGGAACAGCTGTCATTCAGACTTTTTGATTTGATTAGCAGGTTTGAAATATTTAGTATTCAGTAGTGGTATACCGTATTTTTCTTAGTTCTTTATGAGTCTATTTTTCTGGGCACTGGATTACGAATATTAAACAAATTTCAAGTAATTTAAACGGCAGTCACGAGGCTTTGTTGGACTTTGACTGTGGTCTAAAAACCAAATTTTTTTTCATGGTTATCTTGATAATTGTAAATGAATTATTTATTATTCATCTTTCAAATAGTTTACCCCATTTTATATACTATTTTATTACCTAAACACATAAATAGTTGATAAAATTAGTTAGTCTGCAATAATTATTGATTAGTGATCA